GTTCGCCTGGCATATTCATCGGCAAAGTAGAGTCTGCACAACTTTGAGACCCACTGGCTCGGTTTCTCCATGTCTACTTGGAGGTGCGGCCCTGCTTATAACTAGTTGTTATACTTGTCATGGTTATCGTTCCAGTTACTGTATCACTTATAGTTGGACTTACTAAGTCAGTCATGCTAGACTTATGGTTTGACTTAGGTAAGTGCGACAACCTAGTTGTCGTCTACTTGTAAGTATTTACGGTTGGACTTGTGCTACTTATTAAGTCAGACGTGTTCGACTTATAAGTAGGACATGTTCGACTTATAAGTAGGACATGTTCGACTTATAAGTAGGACATGTTCGACTTATAAGTAGGACATGTTCGACTTATAAGTAGGACATGTTCGACTTATAAGTAGGACATGTTCGACTTATAAGTAGGACATGTTCGACTTATAAGTAGGACATGTTCGACTTATAAGTAGGACATGTTCGACTTATAAGTAGGACATGTTCGACTTATAAGTAGGACATGTTCGACTTATAAGTCGGACGATTTCGACTTATGTTTGACTTATAAGTCGAACCAGCAGGTTCCCCAAACGCGCCAAAAGTGTTTCGATCATGTTGTTTTTTAAAAAAATTCTTTGTGAAACCGAGCCCTCGCTATACATTCCTGTGCTCCTTTTTCAACATTCCGAAGATATGCTGCACTCACGGAAACAGAGAGACTTCGGCAACCCCACGTTTCGCGCCCGTGAGTGCTTTCACCTGTGATTTCACACGCTTCGGAAGCGTTATACTTTTCCCACATACTTGGTATATGGTTGCAGCTGACATGTGTTTTTTAATAACATGCTGATGTGTTTGACATGATGGTTGCAGTCCAAAAACTAATATATGGCACATGAAAAACCAGAGGAAAGTTTGTGTGACTGGCCGGACTATCGGAATTGATGGAACTCTTTCACATCAGGCTCAAAAGAAGCATATCACGTGGCAGAACCCCAGCGCAGAAGTTCATGTTTTCTGCATCACTCAGGATTCAGCTAGAGCTCCACCGATCACATGGGCCTCCATGCAGAGGCCAAAGAACATATATGACAATAACAGAGATTGGAAAATGGCGAGACAGGGAAGTTGGTCATGGTTTCTATCTTTGTTTTCTCACTCTGATTGAACGATCCAAAGCCAGCAAAGTATATTGAAGCAACCGCGTGTCTTGTTTCTATGTATACTATACACGGAATGGTTGAAGTGATACACCTTTTTGCCGCGAGCATGGATCCAACGGCTTTGTACGGCAGCCAGTTCGCTGCCACGCAATTTGAACCAATTATGTTCTGCTCTACATGGCAGAAAAGCAAATGTCAAATATTTCACACGGCATGAGGGATCAACAGCGCCGAATTGTCAGGCAAAGGCTGGTATATTACGCTCCCTTTGATGCGCCTTGTCTCTACCCATCTCAACACGCTGTCCCCACATCGGAACTGATGTTTCGACAAGGATTCCCAAACTGAGATGATCGACACTAAATGTCCCGAACTTTCACAATGATACATCACTTGGCCATGAGCTGTCTGACCAGTATCCGTTGCGAAAGTCACCACATCATCCCGTTTGATCATGTTCCCGCAAACAGAGGCACCCAATGCAGTCATGACTGGCGCAGAGCCAGGAAAGTCATCCTGAAAAGATTGGTTGATTTCTGCAGGTGCATCCTGAACAGCTCCTGCCAAAAACACTGCATCATGCTCCAATGGCTCTTCATGTTCTGCTAGTCTTTGGCAGTAAGACAAGGTGACCTGTTCCAAGAGCTGCTTGGACCAATCAGGACTTACGGTGTGCCGATTGTTGGCATAAAGTTTGATGCCCTTGTGCTTTCTCTCCAACACAAAGCAGTTTAGGAGATAACCTGTCTCGCGCATGGATTGAGCGACATGCAGCATGTAGTGGTGTTTTGGCAGAACGGATTCTTCTCCATGCGCCAGCTTGAAAGCTTTCAGGTGATCGACAACATACTTGTGCAAAGTGTCAGAGGAGATCGGGCCACGCATGGATGAATGACATAATTCAAGAAGGTTCAACGCCAGAACCAAAGATCTAACAGTCAGACGAACTGATGCATCCTCGCTTCTATCAAGATTCAAAGTTCTCAAGAAATGCCGGATAGGGCCATAGAGACTCAAACATTCGCTGGCACTGCAACTGAACTCAGCATTCTTGCGAAAGCAATCCTTTCCAGTGTTTCCAGAGCTCTGGATGTAGTCTGGCCACACCAGTTTTGCCCTGCAGAGTTGAACACATGCAAAATATTTCTTGCGTTTAACATACATACATGCATACACACATATATATATATGTGTGTGTGTCTATGTATATATATATATGTATGTGTGTGCGTGCGTCTAGGGAGACAACTATTTACAGATAAAGAAAAAGGAATCGAAAACAATATCGTTATTCTGATCACAGGCAAAGGCTCAGCCAATTCCGCAGAGCAACTGGAGTGAACCCATGCCCGGCCAGGCGATGCAAGGAGAGGTTGATCTCAAGGACCACCACTCCTTGCACCACCAGGCAATGCATCCAGTCGTACTGGAGGCACTGCAGTGGCCGGACATGGGTCCGTACAGGATCGAACAGAAGGCCCTGTGGAGAATAGGAGATGCCGAGGGATTGCTCCAGCTCTGCGAACTTCATTTTGCCCAAATGGGCGCTCTGGGCCCTGCATCAACATGGCGCAGCCAAACAACGACAAATTCTATTTCATCCAAAAGCATGCTTATAAGCAAACAAACACGAAAGACTTTGCAATGTCCCCGAATGGTTTCGTCACCCTGCCTTAGGTGATCGCACGCCTTGAACAGTGTGGCATCAGTGTGCTGCTGAAATTTGCTCACATCATGTTCAGCAAGGCTGATGAGGCGATCAGAATTTCTCCAGAGGTCATCCCGGTGCAGCACCTGGTCACTTACTTGTTTATCTATAGACCGCAACCGGAAGACGGATTTAGTTTTAAGACTCATGATATCACCCACCTGTCCACCAAACACCAAAGCGAAAACACGTCAACATCATTGCAGTCAACAAACTACATTGCGGCACCGTATGCAGGGCTTGCTCCCAGATGCTCCCTTGTTCTGGAACATCTGCTTGAGAGCGTCAGCGTCCGAGATGACTATTCTCAGCTTAGCTGTCAACATCCTCGGCATGTCCTTCAAAAGGAATCCTGCTGAGAAGCTGGGAACATCGAGCAGGAAGAGCTTCGCCATGTTCCGCATCACTTGGGATAAGCCGTCCTTAACCTGGGACGCGTCATGAACACCATGCAACAACCTGAAGAAGGACATGTCCTTCCTTTTGTGGTCTCAACAACAAGATCCCCGCGAGCTTGCAAAGAGCCCAGCAGGTTTTGAAAGTAAATGGACCAACTCTGTATAACCGGCATGACCCACGACATTTGAAAAGAACACACACACTTGTGGCTGTGCCTCCTTCAGCTCATCAGTTCGCAAACATGTGAAGGTGAACCAGGCCAAATCATTTTGAAGGTGTTGGCGAAACTCGGCAAACGTCCAATACACAGACCACCTCGGTGCATGAGCTTGCAAAGCATAGCATACAAGCAAAATTTGTTTAAAAAAAAAGAGCTTGACATGAGTTTGTGACCCAAACCGGGAAAATAGAAACATGTGCAAATATCTTGGCCAGTCAACGTCTTGCGGTGGTTTAATGGACGAAGTGCATTGCCTGGTGTCACTTCATCCGCGTACCAAACAAGGTTCCATTCTCCAGGAAACTGCTGCATCGTTGATGCCATCAGCCCCGCAAACCATGCAGATGTTTGGATGAGGTGATCAAGGAGGCAGATTGGATGCACAAACCACGCCTCCATATTCGATCCATCAAGCATGGACAGGGTCATGCTTTGCATCAAAGGGCCGAAAAAGGTTGACACCCTCACATCTTTCTCTCGTTTCCTCTTCACTGCCCAGCGGCTGGACCCTGCTTCGAGCACTGTGGGGTCTTCTTTGATGTTCTTCAGAACATTGGCCAAGGCCGCGTTGCTAACATATGATCCGCCTCCCAAATTGGAAAGGCTAACAGATGAAGATGAAGCTGCCATGTTGAGGCCGCCTCGCTTTTTGCACGTTTCTTGCACCTCTTGGTCCTCAAAAATTGCAGAAACGTGCGCATCAAGGTGCGTCTTGCTAAATTCATAATCCATATATACAATTATATACATATGTATGCACATGAGCTCTCACATAAACCAACAGCATCCATGTCATACTCGCCCTGCTGGCATGGAACTATGTTGAAATGCTGGAGAGTCAACTTGGCTATAGCTAGTTCGCTGCTTGTTTGGCATCCTTGAGGTGGCAAACAAACCGGCAAAACAAACCGGCAAAACAAATCTCAATATACTGCATGGCACCCATGCATGCACCCAATAAGTGCCTTTTGCAGCATATAGCAGGTTCATAGAAGCTCCACAAGCCTGAACAAGTTGTGCTTTCAATCACACCTGAAAAAACGATAAATGACTATACTGACTATACACAGTACAGCTTCACAAGGAATCAGCTGAATTCTGAAGACCACACGCTCGATTGAAAGCAAGCTCAGCTATATGGCTCCATGGAAAATAACATGAATTCTACCTGGTAATCTCTTTGAAATATTGTCACGCTTGCGGGACTGGGACAATGCATGGTCTTCCAATGAATCCTTTTCTCAAGCGCGATGAGGTCTGCGTTGATGTTTCCCACAAGCCGGCACTTGGCATGGCTCTCCAAACTTAAAACAACACCACGCCCGTGAACGTCGGGCAGCTCCAAAGCATTCACAGTCTCACGCCACTGGAAATGCGTTGCGACTGTATGACATGGAGCAGCACTGAAATCAGGTACGGCTTCCTTGCAACCCGCGCATTCCCACAGAATGCATGCAAAGAACAAACACCCTTCGGGTGAATCCATACACCCCTCTGATCTCACTTTGACCGCAGCTCAGTCGACGTTCTCAGCCGCCAGCTTTTTGGCATGTTCTTCGATGAGCTTGCAGCAGGTTGCCCATGCGGCTGACTCATCATTCTTGTAGCTGACAGCCTTGTCCTGTCTATCACCAGCCTGCAAGAAGACCCTGAACTTCTTACAGCCGCCTCGGGGAGAAGAAGAGGGTACCAGTCACAACTATTGAAAACGACTTAATAGTGGAGTAAAACATGTCAAAGCAAAGTTCCAAGGCAAACCGTTCGAAGAAACAGTGCAAGTTGCTATTGCGGTGGACTTTTCCTTGAAGGTAGTGAGTCGTCGGATCACCATCCTTCATGATGGGCGGTCTCTCCGGGCCAGTGAAGACCCGCGGCACTTGCCGCGTCTTCTTGGCGGCGTTTGCCTTGACGGGCTTTTCGGTCTCTGCCTTGGCGGCGCTTGCCTCGTCTTCTTGGCAGGAATCTTCTTCCTTCTCTGTCTCTTTGCTGGCTGATGCTTTCGCTTTGGCCTTGGCCTTTGCCAAAGTTGAGTCTGCCTTCTTCTTTGATGCGGCCTTTGCTTTGGCTTCTGTCTTGGCCTTTGGTTCTGCCTTAGCCTTTGATGCGGCCTTTGCTTTGGCTTGTGTCTTGGCCTTTGGTTCTGCCTTAGCCTTTGAGCCAGCCTTTGCTTTGGCAGAAGGCTTGGGCTTGCCATTGGACTCATCACCTTGTTCTTGGGCAGCTTCGGTCTTCTCCTCAAGACGTTTCCTCTTTCTGTCCTCTTTGGCCTTGGCAAAGAGTTTCGCATCTTGTTCGGGCTCGTATTCCTCATCACTCATCCCTGGCTCATCAGGCTGCTTGGACTTAGCTGGAACCATCACAGTCATCGGTGATGGTGCAGGTGCAGCTTGCAATGGCTGCTGCTCCTGTGAATCGTTCGCCTCACTTAGTTCAGACCGTGGCGATCTGGAGGGCTCACGCCCTGGCCGCTTGCCCGGAAAGATTTGCAAGTTTGCGAGACCAGCACCATGGCCCTTGGAGCTTCGGGGAGCATTAGCTTGCTCAAGCAAAGGCGCGAGGAGATCAAAAAGAGGTTTCAAGGGCGCCAAAGCAGACTTCTCCGCACCCGGGAGGGCAAGGGCCAAAGAGGTAGCCGCACTCGCTCCCTCTTTCCTTAGCACGGCCATCTGCCAACACGAAAAAGGAACTGCAATACAATGAGCTGTAAACAACATCCTTCGACATGCAACCCACGTGTTGTCATGAGGTAAAAAACGGATCATGCAAAAGCTTCAGAACCTGAAGCTCAGCCCAACTGTAAAATGAATTGCGGTACACCAAACCTTGTCGAGAAACTTGGGGCCTCGCAAGTGGCCACTGAACAGAGTTGATCTGTCCTTTCCCTTTGTGACCATCTCCGCGCACGGAGAATCTGAATAAGGCTCCGGAACTTTAATGTCCTCCAATGTCACAAATTTCTGCTGAAAGAGGCTGTCGTCCAACTTCACATGGCGTCGTCGCCGACGGACGTAACTCTTCAGCTGCTTGAGATTCTCGGTGGAGTTGTCGACACAGAGTCCCAAGCTTTGCGCCGAGCGCATGATCTCTCCATAACACAGCTCTGAGGCCCACATCATCCCGATTTTCACCTTGGAAACAACATCATGATATAAAGATATACATCAGCATGTATAGTCCAGGTAAATGATGACTCTACATCAGCCATGTGTGTGGGAAGAACCTCTATAAGTTTAATATGCTGACTAGTCACGAGCCTTGCTGCAATTTGCTCCAACTTCCCCACCAGTGAAGTTTCTGGAGCACGTAGAACCAAAACATCCTCCTGACTCCAAAAGGGAGTAAAGTCAGGACAGACTTGGTTTGGCCTAGACTTCTTGCCACATGAGGCGACATCCTTGGAACACTCGCCCAAAGCCATGCCGAGACCAGCTTTCTGCTCATCCGTCCACGGCCCAGTCTCAATCAGCCCTGACAAGGCATTGATGCCTTCCCAGCCCATACGATGGCTGCCGACCCTCTTCAATACTGACTGATACTGCGTTTCCCTGAGCTGCTCAAATTGCTCCTTAGACAGCAGGCGCTCCTGGTTAGTCAAGAAGGTCTGCAGCTGCCGCACATCTTCCTTCATACGTTCATCCATGGCTGGGTTCGGGATTGTCCCAGCAGGTTTGAGCGAGCTCACCTGATGTACAAGACTGCAGCTCAATGACACCTTTCAGATCACTTAAACTTGGAGCGAATGAGCGCATTCATCCAGTTGCTGTCCAATACCGAAAGAACGTTTGGAATGGCAATAGGTTTTGGAATAAAAGTCACACATACACTGCATGCGAGCAACGGCCCAACATGCATTCCAAAACGGATGAACTTCATGACCCATGACAACGAACGGCCCAACCTGCGTGAGCCCCTGCTGCATTGCAGGCAAGTGGATTGCAGAAGCATGCTGATTGGCCGCTCGCATGCAGCCTGCATTCCCTGCATCACGTCATGTTTGGTTGGTGAAAACCATCCATCATGATACAAACCATCACTAGAAGGTCGCTTGCTGGTATGCCGAGCTTATTCCAGTATGGAAAAAGGTGTGTTTGACACGTGCATGCATGTCGAAACCAGATACTGTCTATTCTGCCACTCTGCCACTGACATGGGATGTTTATCATATATATATATATATGTGAATATTTTATGTAGATAAATTTTCTACATGTAGATTTTATTGAAACATGATGGAGTTCCATGATATGAACGAGAACACTGTTCATAACAAATGACATTGGCGCACATTTGAATGGCGCTGACTGATCTAGAAGAGATGCCATTGCACGCGAGCGGTGCCCGCCCAGCATGCTGGTGATCAATACATGACGCCTCCAATAGACGAGCTGCCGCAGGTCACACCTGACATGTTGCGGTGGTGTGACATGAGCGGAGCTACAAACATAAAAGCACTTTGTGAAACATTTCCATGTGCAGTGATATGGATTTTCCGGCCAAGTCATGTCCCACAACCGAACAGAACCATACTGGAATGTTAACAAAGCTATGTCACACACTTTGTGAACCTCATGCCAGCAAAACAACGACATGTTTGGCCTGCTCCATTCATGGGCGATGAGTCCTGGCTTGCAGCAGGCAGTGGATTGCCAAAGCCACAACAAAGGGTGGAATATACATTACATATATATATATTGATTTATTTATCTATTTATTTCTTTTCTTTTTTTACTTATCTATTTACATTGATATTAACACATACAAACAACCACCGTTTTGATTGCAGCTTTTAGGGATAAAATTCACATGCAACTATCATGAACCCATGCAAAAGCAAGTTGGGCATCGTCTCGCTTGCAGTGCTGGGGGTATATGCTGTGTAGATGTAGATGGACATGCAAACAAATCCGAAACCTTAGGCTTGAAAGCCACTGTCTTTTCAGAGCGCCGCATGCGGGAGCGCGGGGAATGTTGTCTCTCGGATGTCATCCAAATTAGGTGAAAACTGAAGTTTATCCAAATATACAATATGCAATGCTTTTGTAAATATCTTTTGGGTTCTTTTGAATGCAATAAAAGCATCACTAGTAGGACCCCTTATAAAACTACATTAACTCCGCTTTCACCCAGTGAGCATGCATTCTTCTGATGCAGCTATAAATCACCAATTTGCACGGCCGACAATCAGCTGGTGTTCAAACAGTATTTCAAAGAAACTTGATTGATTTCAAGAAAAATACCGATAGATTGCGGCTGTCCGCACATGCACGTGCAAACGCATGCCGTTCCGAGCTGGTCGCACGAACACAAACTATGATCTGTTGAATGCACCACAACCTGACAAGTTTGCCAGAAACTATGTAAACATATTTAAACTACAGTGAACCTCAAACCTCACTTGCGACCTATGCCAGAACACAAGCAAAAAAATGGATGTGTGAAACTGGACAGGCATGCATGAATTGGCGGGTGAGACAGTACGCCGATATGCGGGCTCTGCGATCGGTCTGCATTTTTGTGGCACAACCATTTTCTGCAATTTTCGGTATTTTTTTCATACGTGTTGAATGGCACATGACAAGGTTCATTTGAAACATGCCCATTTGAGCATTTACAAAGGAATTGGCAGCCGAATATAGTTGTGCACCTCACACATCCATCAACGGACCCCAGCTTCTGGCTGGAACTGGGACTATCGCTTGTCTAAAATCTAAGCTGACTTGTCTTGAACGGCAGCAGCACCAAATCATATTTCCTTGGTGGCTCAATGCCCTTTTCACATGGGGAATTGCCGGCCTTCCTTAGTTTGTGCTGCCGCCTTCAAGGCCCTTCAGCGTCTCCGGACTACTTCACGGAGAGTGGCCGCTATGTTGGAGCAAGTGCCCAACACAGCTCTCCTTTCTTCTGGGCTCATGGTGGTCGATGCTGCCGCCTCGGATGCACATGGATGCAAAAGCACATGGATGCACGGGTGCAAAAACGCATGTCTCAGCCTTGGCAGCATATGGATGCAAAAACACATGTCTCAGCCTTGGATGCAAATGGATGCAAAGCCCATGTCTAAAATGCGCAGACCACACGCTGCTGCCAGGTAGCTTCATTGCCGGTCTCTCTCAGAATGCCGCATTGCTCCTTAGATCACCATGGACTGTGCACGTGCCATGAAGCAAAAAAAAATCGAACCGCAGGAATCTTATGCAAGCATGTGCAAATATGTCAATCT